TCGTCAGTAATTTTATTCTACATCAAGTTCATTCCAATGTTGATCCTCCCTCGCCAATAGAATTCCTCCAATAACTTAACTATGCCATCCATCAAGATATCTCAGAAAGTTTGAAAGAAAGCCATAGGATACCCATTCCGTCCCGGAGCCTTATCTCCACTGGGCCAAAAACAATAACTGCAATTTTTTGCATATCAAATTTTCTCACCAACCACAATGCTTCTTAAAAAGGTAGTTTTGTAAACGAAATATTGTCAAGACACATATTCAAAGAATTGCTAGCAAAAATAGTTTGTTTAAAGTGTTCAATTAATGCAGCCTCCAACTTAGAAATGTTATCACAATCCACACCTTGAATTTTTAATTTATGGATTGAATTCCCCATTCTTCTAGTGCTAGCAATCGCATGAAAGAATTTTGTGTTCCTGTCTCATTCTTTCAATCATTTATCTCTCACTTTCTTCTCCAATGTATCTCCTATAGTCGTAATAGATCCCTAAAGGAGGCTATTCAAGAACTTCTTTCTCTACGTTGTTCTTGTGATGGTGAACCCCCCGTGAATTGATGGTTATCTAATTCCTCAATATGTCTCTCTACAATAGTAATTTTAGTTTGCAAATTACCATGAATTCCTTTTCCAAATAATACTTATGTTTTTTAGAAGCTTAAGTTTTCTAGATAATTGAGAACCCTTCCAACCATCAACATGAGTAGTTTTCCATGAATTTTATAATAATTCCGGAAGGAATCTATCAGAAAGCCAAGTGAGTTCAAATCAGAACTGTATAGGTCCAAACCATCTGTGCTAAGTAGAAAAGGCACATGGTCAGAGGCCACTTTAGGGAGGGTTTAAATATCAATGTTTAAAAAATGATTTTCAAAAGCCGGGAACACTAGAAATCTATCAAAACAAGTTCCAAATCATTATGATTAGACCATGTAAAATTAACACCAATTGAAAGAATATAAATCAATTCATACTGCCGAATAAAAGTTTTAAATAAACGTATACAAGCAGACAAACGAGGGGTAGTAAAGGATTCACTAGTCCATCTATTGATATTTAAATAATATCCAAGACACCAAGGCACATTAAGATGTTGAGAAATAGCCAAAGTTCATAAAAAAAAATAAAGGCCTCTCATCTGATTTATTAGGTCCATAAACAACAATAAGACACCAAGAAAAATTTTCCATAGGCCCATGAAAGAAAATAGACACATGCCTAGAAGAGATATTAAAGTCCAAAGCATATAGCATTAGAACCCAAAAACTCCAAAATGTAAAGACCGAACATTTTACTTGTGTGATCTTTATATAACCTTACCTTGTGTCATCTTTACATATCTAATTTTTTCACTCCAGTTTTTGAGCCAAATTCAAATATTTACGATATTTTAACATACATAATTGTTTACGACCTATATTTTTTTACCTAATTTTTTGGGACCAAAACCATTTTATTATTGTTATTTTAGTTCGCCAATATATTACTATTCGCCAACTTGCTAACTATGGTCCCCACCCACCCTTGTTTTGTTATGATTTAAGAACCTTCTTAGATATGGAAACAAGAATCTTAAAGTTGGATTCCACCAAGATCGTGTACTTATCCAGCTAGAAAAAAAATCGGAGGAGCACGAGTCATAGTACAAGAAATAAAGCATGAAACACACACGTCATAAGAACACATAGATTTATGTCGTTCACCCCAAGAGGGCTAAATCCATGGACACGACAAACTGAAATCCACTATACCAATGAAAGTTACATCACATATTTTAGGACAGAGTGTTATCTCTCTAACCCTTAACAAAACACAATTGAGCAAACCCTTTTAAACCCGCTCTCCCGATCGTCACGACTTGCCGATCTCTCATATCTATTTCATGCTAAACTATTCAGGAAGATACCATTTCCATTCCACAGCTAAACCACTACCCAAGAGGAGAACCGTGAGAGCAACCGAGACTTTTTCTCTTTAAAAGAGGAAACCATCCAAAATCTTTATGGAACCGCTTCTCTACAAGAAACCAGTCTCTCAATCTACAAGAGGCACAATGTGGAGTTTCTCACCCTAGGAAGCTCTTTTCTTTCTGAAGAGGAGGCTTTACCTTTCATGTAGGAGGCACATACTACTCTCTCTCTAGAGGAAGATACTTTTATCGTATGATGACCCAAATAGGGCACACAAATTCTCTGTACTTTCATCCCATATATATATATATATATATATAAAGTTATGAATTCACACCAAATAGAAAACTTCATACAGGTGTTACTTATATCTCAATAACCAAGAGATATATCCAAGAATCCTAATGTTTTTGGATTTCTATTTTATTTAAGAAACTTATCAATATCAATTCAAATTTCATAGATTTTTTAGTGCGGGTAGATTTTGGATATCACCATATCCAACATCTTTGCCTCAGCACGAGAGAGTGGGGGATATTCTTCTTGTTTCCTTTTAAAACATAAAAAATAAAATAAACACCCTGAATTCACTCCGTATCCTTACGTAGTAGGTTTAAGGTACAATGGAGAGAGAGTAGCAGTGAAGAGAGAGAGAGAGTAGTAGTGAAGAGGGGAGAGAGTGTAGTAGAAGTGTAGAGAGAGAGAGAGAGCGTAGCAGTGAATATCATATGCGCACCAAGTTGTAACGTAAGAAACGATGTAGGCGGACCATGTGGGTCTTCCTTTGTCCCATGCGGGACTTGGCGAATAGAGACGATCTCTTTTGATTCAAACACCACAAACTAATCCGCTAACTTTGGCGGAGGTCTTGGCCCTTTCCTCACTTGTAATAAACCTGGACCTTCTTGCTGCACTATTCCCTCAAATTCTGCGCCTTCAACTAAGAACCTCACTCTTCTTCTTTAATTAGAAAACTGCAGATTTACTATGCATTTGGGTCAGAGGTCTTATTGGTTTTAGAGTTAGAGGTCCCCATTCTCCACCCCTACAGTCATTTTTTAAGTAGATTGCCCCCCCCCCCCCTCCTCTCTCTCTCTCTCTCCACCCTACTATCCTTTATCAATGGATTGCTCTCTCTCTTTCTCCTACTATCCTTTTTGAATGATTGCTCTCTCTCTCTCCACCCCATCATCCTTTTGCAATGGTTGGTCTCTCTCTCTCTCTCTCGCTCTCTCTCTATTTTAGTGTATCAGCCTAGTCTATGCCATTAGACAGAACCAAATCACTTCAGCTACTTTCTTCATGATTTTTCTGAATTTAATAGTGAAAGAAAGTTGACATTACCCACTTCAAGCCACTGTAAACGTGGAAAAATCTTCTCTCCGGCAAGCTTATTTATTCTCAGATCAAAACAATGTCTTATTTATCAAATCAAAGCCTTAGCAAAAAAACCCACACATTCTCACTCAGTTTATCCCACCATTATGGAGTTTTACTCCCCAACAGTTTTCTTTCTCTTTCTTCCTCTCTGTCATGCTTCAAAACAAAAGAGAAATGTTACATCAAGCATCCCAAAATGGAAAGAGATAAGGTTCAGTGTTGAACCTTCTGCACCAGCTAGGCATAGGCTTCTTCTTTTTGGGTAAGTTTAGGGTGAGGGTTCAGGCTCACTGGTCAATATCCATCACTCTTCTTTGTGATTATCAAAAAGCAATAATGTGTACACAAGAAGAAACAAAAGCCTCTAGAGCTGTGCTTATGCAACATATTCCTTTTGGTTTTTATAATATATAGGTTGGCCTAATACTTTAAGGGATGATTCTTTTAAGGGAATAATTTTGCTGGTGCAAGTGCAGGGTGAGTTAGAAGTTTGATGGCAAGGCCATGGCAGAAGAGAGAGCAAATGGGCTTTTGAAAGATGCCCTTTTTGGAAGTGAACATATCTGTTCACTGGTAAAATCCAGAGAAAAGGGAATCCATGTAATATTACATGATGAGATCCTGGAAAGGGTAGTATTACTTTATGCTGAAGAATGTCAGTGAATTAGAGAGAGAAATATAATAGAATGCAAGGTAGAGAGAGAAATATAATAGAATGCAAGGTAGAGAGAGAAATATAATAGAATGCAAGGTAGAGAGAGAAATATAATTGAATGTACGGTACGAGAAGCACAATAGCTAAAACACTTGCGGCTTCTTACTTGCTAAAACCCATATAATGGTGAATATCGTCGATTTCTATGGTTTTTTCTCACTCCTTTTTTGAAGATTGGTTTATTGTCGGTAAATAAGATCTGGTTTACATACCAAAATTAACAGTAAATAAGATGTGGTGCACCCTACATGAATGTTTGTGCGTGTGCGTGTGTGTGTGTGTGTGTGAGAGAGAGAGAGAGAGAGAGAGAGAGTTTGGTTATATTTTTATTTTTCTTGATTCTATCTCCTGTGAAAACTACATGGTTTAGTAGTTGTCATAATTTTATTTTTATTTGTTTACTTTTTTTTACCATTTTTCTTTTTAAGTATTTCTCATTGTCAGTAAGTACAATTAAATCCAACCTAGAAATCTCAGAATGACGAGCAAACTAATTTACAATCTTAATGCTTGTGTTAAATCTGAGAAATCTCTCCTTCGAATATATAATATTCACAAATTAAAAATCTAGCTCTTTTCAACTGCTTTTTATTGACTGAAATATCTAAAACCAGTTTATTTGATAAACCCAATGAATATATTAGTTCTCTTTACTTTCTTTGGAACCCGAACTACTTTTTAGTAGCAGTGCATGAGTAGTAACTCTATTTTGAATCCTGGCTATTTTACTAACTGTTATTGATCAGAGAACTCTTTTTGCATGATCATTAAATTTCTTCAAAACCCTAACTAAGTTCACTGACTGCGCTTGACTGGTGTCCTGTGAAGAAATTGCTTCCTAATAAAAAAAAAGAAAATTGAGGGATTTACTTATGCAGAAGAAAAGCGACTGTGATATTCTATGAAGAATTTCAATAGTGATTCATTTTCCTAAGAGACTAGAATTTACTGGATCCATCAGTATATTAAGCTAGTGCTACAATATGCATATCAAAGGGGAATAGAATCCAAGCAATTGGTCCAAGCAGGCCATTGCAATAGAAACAAATACATAAACAGAAGCTCCAGATAAAGTGAAAAAGGAGAGAGAGATGGAAATGTGAAAATAAATTATAGAAAAGAAGACCAATTTATGCTAACTTTTTAGCTTCTTTTTAACCTTGATGGCTTACTGCCAAGTCGAAGCTCAAGGTCTAGTTCTTCTACTGCGCTGGCTGTCTTTGTGAAGAGTCCTGCAACATAAGGGAAGAATTCGCACTTCTTCGATCTCTTTCTAGTCAATGATTCCCCACTTTCTCTGTCCTCATCATCTTCCCAAACTCTCCTCTTCTTAAACATATTTGGTAAACTTGCCTCGGGGTCGAGCTTCTCAAGACCATCAAAATTCCGGTGTTCCTTGATTTTATGGGCATCGATTTTGGGCAGGCCTGATAACTCTAGTTTATGCTTAGATCCAGTTAAACTGAGAACCTCAACATCCAGTGACTCTGAGATTAATGGAGGAGAAGAAGCAAATGAAGCCTTATGCTTTTGTTGTGGCATAACAACAGCGGAAGAAGAGAAAGAAGATATAGACAAACCAGCAGGAGGAGAACCCAAATTCATATGGCTGCAATTTGCTTTACAGCATGAGTTAGAAGGGCCTGAAACCTCTGTTGAAGAGAGAGATGGGGAAAAATTAGGGTTAGGGTAAGTCAAAGTGCAAGGCTCAGATGGATATTGGTTTAGAAGAGATTGGGTTTCACTGTGAGGACTTGGAGACTGTCTAAGCCTTGCTCTATCTCTTCTATGGACATTCATGTGGCCTCCCAGGGCTTGAGCAGACCTGAATTCTCTCTTACAAAAGGTGCAAGAATATGATCTTGGAGGCCATATGAAACCCCCTAGTGGACCTGCTGAATCTTCTGCAAAAGCTTGTTCTTCCCATGAATCATAATTAGCAGCTCGATTACCGCTGCTTGCCATGAATTTCCTCCTAGTCCACATCCAATACCTGGTCTGCTCCATATTTTTTCATAAGATTTGCACCGAATTAGTGGCTTAGACAAATCGAATCAAATATTTTGCAGCCACCTTAGGACAAATCAAGAGATCTAAAGAGAGAGAGAAGGGACTGAAAGCATGGATTTAGGCACAATTCCAGTCTATTTGAGGTCTAGCAGGTGGAATAGTTTGTTGGGGCAACCCTAAATTGAAGTTTTGAAAGATGGGTAGCTTAAGTAGGACCCAGGATCATGGTTTGATGTAAAGACTTTGTTTAGTTACTGTAGAAGTGGACTGTCATTATGAGTGTGGTTGGGGGTGAAGTTTATCTAAAGGCCTGGCCATTTTGTAGGTCGTCTGTTTCCTCTCCCTCATAGACTTGCCATGAAAACATTCAATCATTCTTCTTTTTTCAATTTCCCTTGACCCCCTAGGTCACAATAAAGTATCTTAAGCTCAAGGAATTTCAAATTGTTTAATTTGTTTTCTTGTTACCTACGTGTGCAACGAATCCGGGCTCAACTTCTTGGAGATTAAGTCAAGATACCCAGTCAATTAGGGCATTAGTTTTTGCAGTCACATTCTTTTGGAATTAAAGGAGTACGTTGATATTTGTTTCATCAGTTTATAGATGGGGACCAATTTATGGCCATGTTGGTATAATAACAATATGGAATTTGATGTCTTGAAATTGCAACATAGAAGTCTTTTTAAAGTCATCAAGGCAAAATAGAAGGAATTAAAAAGAGGAGCCCATGTGGAGGGAAGGATATTTAAAAAATAAATATGAAATAAAAGAAAAAGGAAAAACCAAAAGGAAACAGCCTTTTGACATAGGCAATGAAACATGGATAGGGACACCAAAACAAAACATTAGAAAAAAGGTACCCAACAACTTGTCCTTTGTCTAGCTCCTTAGAAGAAGAGCAGCCATGAGGGGCTCCTAATAAAATATACAATAAACAGGTATTTTAGACATTTGAGTTAGGACCTGCAAGTTAGGGATGTTTGGAGTCTTTGGACCTCATTCTCATGCATACAAGTTCAAGTAGCTTTCCAGTCCAAAAGGCCAGACAAAAGGGAAGGCCAAACATCTAATCTTTTCTCTTCTAATAATCAATTATCACTTGTAAACATAGAACTCTTAGATTCTTTATCTGTTTTGATAGTGGTGGAACTGTCCTTTCTCAAAGGGATGCAAGCAACAAAGCACAGCCATTCTCCACTTGCTCGAATCATAGTGTTCTCTAATCTGTTGAACTTGTTCTTTTGTACTTCTCCTATTTGTTTTCAATTGTTGATGGTGAATCTTAACCACATCTCCAAGTTAGGAAGTGAGCTCTTCAAATAAATCTAAGTTGAGTCCTGCCCCAACCGTTTTTCCGATTAAAACAATTTAGCAGGCATTGTCTTGTGTCTGTCTTTTGCATATTTTGCCATTAACGTGTTCTAATGATTCCATTCTTAGAAGGGTGTTCACAACCTTTCTTCTTTTATAATGTATGAGATACAATCATTGTAGCAATGACATAATCAATGGAGCGATGTGAAATGAAATATTGAAGAAATGGGGGGTCACGATATGAAATTCAATAAGAAAAAATAATCAAAAGTAAGTTTATATTGTGGGATACATGACCAACAGGAAACTCAAATTCCAAATGTCTCACAGTATTTAAGTTTTTCTTTCAAAGGAAAATTAATCTTGAAAGCATGTGGTGTTGTGTTCTGATAGACAATTAAAAAACTGATGACTTCGGAATAGAAAAACTGGGCATGTCACTGTAGTTGTTGGATTTGGTGCTATTCAAAATCACCTACATAAGGAAATCATGTATTTTGTGGGATTGATTGAGATTGATATTGATAAGTTTTCTAAAGGAAATATAAATCCAAAAAGATTAGAACTCTTTGATATATCTTTTGGTTTTGAGATATATGTAAGATTTATAAGAAGTTTCCTATTTAGTATTGACTCCTAATCTTATTATTTGAGTCACTATATGGGAATGGTGGTTCCTCTAGAGAGAGGATGGGGCAAGATTTCCTGTGCATAAGATGCAAGATTTTCTCTTAGAGAGAATATAGCTTCATATGGAGAGAAACATTGTGATGATGTCTCTTGTAGACTCTCGAAGATTGAGAGGCTTATTTTTGTAGAGAATCGGTTCCCATATAAATTTTGAGTTGTTTCCCCTTTTTTTGTAGAGAATAGGTTCTCATAGAAATTTTGAGTTGTTTTCCCTTTTAGTGAGATAAAATCTCGTTTTCTCTCAAAGTTATTTTCTAGATAGTAGTCTAGTTATGGTCTATTCTAAACAGTGGTCTAGATATAGAATAGAGATGAGAGATCGGCATTGGTGCTATTTGCGAGAGTAGGTTTAAAAGGGTTTGTTCGACTTGGGTTTTTGTTGAGTTTTAGAGAGGTAACTCTATGTTCCAAAATCTTTAATGTAACTTTCATTGGTATAGTGGATTTCAGTTTGCCGTGCCCGTGGAAGTTGCCCTTCTAGAATGAACCACATAAATCTTTGTGTTCTTGTGATTTATGTTTTATGCTTTATTTCTCGTACATTATTTGCCAAAAAATTAACCCGTCGGGTTTAGAGCTTCCCCGCACAACAGTAGTCACCATTCATTTCATCAAAATTTATTTTGATAGAATTTGTGGAGGTAACTTCATGATTCATGTGTTATTTGATGTAAGATGGGATGAATTTGTTTGGTTTCATGGCAAGGAGTCAGCTACAATTATCCCCTTCAATACTGGATTTTCAATTTAGCGATAGATTTTCAAAATTATTATCGAGGAGTTTCAAGTTATTCAATTTCTTCTTATTCAAGACTAAAATTGAGTGACCAACCTTGGAATTTAAACCTTTTTGTCTTGAAAACAGGCCAGATCTTATGTAAATCCTCAAACTTAGCTATCTGAATATGCAAACCTATGGTCTCCTACCAGTTTGATTGTTCATTCTACAATGTTTACTTTGTAATGTGTTATGATCTTTTGTATCATTATACAAGTTACATTTCAATTTTCAAATATTTGAGCTGTTGTTCCAAATTTATTTTTGCACTAATGAGCACAGAAGAGAAAAAGTAATGAAAGAAAAGAACAAAAAGAGACAGAGATAGAGCAAAATAAAAGGTAAATAAAAGAAACGAAATTGCTTTTGCATCACGACATCACAGCTAGGTGATTTGGAAGATGTCATGGACTGGAATCAAATCTACATCTATTAAGTAAGAACAAAAGAAACACCTTATACTTCTAATCAAATTTAACCACCTTTAATGGAAGCTAAAAGCCAAAGAGCTATCAACCTTTCAAGAACCAATTCAGGACATAAACTATAGAGGTAAGTTCATCCTCAGTCCAAAAAGAAGGAAGCTTAAAATAATAAAATATTTTGAGATGCTTCTGTGGCTCCTAAAAACTCCCATATGGTTTTTCATGTAAGGCATGATGCATTTGTTATCATCTAAATTTGTCCATCTGTTATAGCAGAAAGGCTAAAGTTAGAGAACATTATTTTTATTCACTTGGAATTCTTAATGCATTTCCTGAATTTGGTAGGTGAGACATGAGTCTATAGTAGATTACATACTAAATTGCAGTTACATGAGTAAACGATTCCAAATTGTTCTTCTAATGCACTGGCAGTACTAGTCTCTTATGCCTTCTCCTTAGTTCTTGACCTGTTCCATAAATGTGTCCAATTACAAAAATCAAAAGATTAAAATTTTTGGGATTGGACCACTTCGCTTGGTTGTTAGGTCGTTGAGAAGTCGCAGACAAAGCGTTCGAGGTTAGAATCGCACTGCTGACCAACCAAAAATGGATAAAAAGAACTACCAAAAATATATTCACTGATTGGGTGCTTTGAGTTATATTTCTTGTTTTCTTTTCTTTTCTTTTTTTTAGGGTAATTCAGCAGGACGATTGGAAGTTGGGGGATGTCAATACCTTAGCAATCAAGTCTAGGAACGAATATAATTTTCCTCGTATTATGATGATGATGGTATATTTGTTTTGAAAAATACTTGTGTATTTCAAAATAATATTATGGTTTTGTACGGTTTTTTTAAGTTGTATTGTATAGAGAGAGAAAGGTGTGGGATTTTAGTCCCATATTGATTAAGAGGGTTGAATTGAGTGGTATTTAAGTGTAGGCATTCTCGTACCTTATATTCTTAGCGCACTTTGCACTTTGCAATCGTCAAGTTAATGGCATGTATGTAGTGTGCATGTGCACTTCGTAACTGTCAAGTTAAGCACATCCATGTAGTGTGCATGTAACCACTTTTGTGTCGTGTTAAAGGCGTGACTATTAGTGGTGCATGTAACCACCCCTACAGTAAATGAGCAACCACTAGGAGCTCTATAAAAGGGGTCAATTTTTTCCATACGAGTAATACTCTTTACACTTCTCACACCATTCTCTACGGAATTCTAGAGAGCATAATATAACACTCATCTCTCTATCTAATAGTTTTTTTTTTCTCTTTCTTTCTTTAAACAACTCAAGATTTTGGTGTCTACTGTGAGCTTCAAGCTCGGGTGCATAGAGCTTTGGAGCATCAAAAGAGACCCTTATGTTTTCTGTATCCTGAGGATAATCGCTTTTCTTTATGCACAAAATTTACATTATCGAAGGGGGAAAAATATTGTCACAAAAAATCACTCTTTGTGCAAAAAAACAGTAAGGAAGTTCGATCCTTTTCGTTTTTATGTTTGCCCCGTTGCACCCAATCGATTTTTCCAACAGATGACAGAAGGACAACAATTGTGGAACAAATATATACCTGTTGAGGATAAATAATTCGGAATAGCATTTAGCCCCTTCTATTAGTCACCTCTAGGAAACCTACTGATGATCAACATGTATTGTCAACATTTCATACGGTCTTAGGCATGTCGAGAATGAGTTCCTATGGATTTAGAGGTCCAGAGTGCTAAAATTGGCTTCTTGGTCTCCATCAGTTTTGAAGGGTGTGTAATAAGTGAGAGCCGGTTCTTTAAAAGCGGAAGTGGAGAAGCAGATCTGGTTCCACTTCACATGGCGCAAGATTCCGAAATTGAACAAAGAAATACAAAGAACTAGATAGAAAACCAGAAGAATCAGAGCGAATATGAGGTTTCTCGCCCACTCCGCAATCTTGGTCTTACTTTGGCAAATTCC